AGCATGCGCAATTGCAACAGCAATGACTCATCTTAAGTATAATTTGGTATAATTTAGTATCATTTCAGAGTTGAGCGAAGAGTTTCCAGCAATCTGATTGGTCGAGGGGTTCCTCCTAGGATGTGGTGCTTTGTTTATCGTAGTTAGCCTCCTAGGCACAGCTTTAACAGTCTAATTGTAAAATACAGAGTTTTCTGAATCAATGTTGATGAAAGCGCAGTTATCCGTCCAAGGATTGATATTACTGTTTTGAAGCTAAACAAGATAACAGTACAAAGAAAAAAAAGTTTATATTCTCTTGCAGGAAAACAATGCAACTTAATTTCTTCTTCCCTTAACAAAGACATATTTTAAACTAGTCTGTTCCCGTTTCTAGCACGATGGAATTTGTGAATTTCCATCGAGACAATTTTATGATGGAAAGCTACGTACAGCTGACGAGGTGAAGTCACGTGCTCCTAGTCCAGTTTCCTTTTGGCCCGCACAAGTACGCCGCCAGAGGAAACTGCCAATTGTATTCTGTCACGTGGAAGGGCAAGAGGAATCTGCTGCCATAGCTACCTCAGAGAGCAACGAGGAGTCCAAGAGAAATATGAAAGAAGTTCATAAGGCAGTAAGTAAATTTTCACCAGATTTGAGAAAGTTGGAAAGATTGAGGAAGATGGTATATCAAGCTTTTTTCAAATAAAAGAACATGAGCTGATCATAGGCAGTTCCATGTCCTCTTGGCTTTAATGTACGATTGTAAAGTAACTTGGCTATTTTCCGAGCCTAAGACTTATCATCATAAAGGATTATGGTAAAATTATTACCAGCTTTCCCAAAGGAATTGATATGGTTGATCTGCGATTTTTTTTTAAGCGCACTGGAACCCCGTCTCTGCCGGAGATACCACTATGCGGAGATCACCTTTATTATGGGGACAAACGTTGATCCAGGCTGACAAAAATTCTCCGAACCTCTATATATATCAGAAATACATTTTTTTTTTGGCATATTAACTTGCTGTATTTTGTAACTGTCAAAGGAGAGTCGCCAAATGATCCTTTATACCTTCATCGTTCGATTAACGATAATATAGCTGAGTACCTTTTTCCATACTGAAGTGTTGCGTTCTTTCCTCACCAACAGGTTCAAGTAGCAAAGCATCTTGTTAACCGTTACGTGTCCCATGTGCGAAGGTCAGACGTGGTCATTCTGTCTCCTTACAGAGAACAGCGAAGCAAAATCACGGAACTCTTAAAGGGAGCATACGAGGATATCAAAGTTACAACAATCACTAAAAGTCAAGGTAAGGCAGTAAAAAGGAAAGCCATTATCAGAAGTACGACTCTTGACAAAACAAAACAGTATACAGAAAAAGAACTACCTTAACTGATCAATACTTACTTAGATAATGTTGTGAAAAAAAGGGATATCTGATAATAGCAAAAGATTAGCGCGCGTTGGAAGAAGGTACGGCTCTAATGAAGTGTTAATTCGATATTCGACTTCTCCTTTTTCTTTGAAATTTTAGGAAGTGAATGGGATTATGTCATAATATCCTTGGTTCGGTCTGTGAAGCGCGACGAAATAGATCTCGAGCCTTCCCTTTCTTGGCTTCGTAACCATCTGGGATTCTTGACTGATGAGCATCAAATGAACGTGGGACTAACTCGAGCTCGTCGGGGACTTTGCATTATAGGTGAGATATGCAGTTTTACTCTCACTGGAGCAGGTTTAGATCGAGTATTTACGCAATCTAACATTTTGGTTGGTTTTGTCATGACATGCTCTGTGATCATTTCAGCAATTTCATCCCATCCTCTAAAGCAATAAGACGCTTATTTAAAATCAAACATTGCATGGTCATTCGCGAGAAGTTACTGTAATGGAGTATGTTAAGTTTGGTTTACTCTGAATTTCCCTCAATTCACTCCTTGTAACATTTTCATTTCCTCTTAGTGGAAGTTGTGGAACTAAGCCAAAAAGTTTGTTAAGCTTACAAATAAAGCATTACGATTATGGGATAGGGCAGCATTATTGTATCGTTAGAATAACTAAGGTTCATCTTATTCTCTGCAGGAAACAAGTATCTTCTGGAACTGGATCCTGCTTGGAAAAGCTTGTTAGAGCATTACGAAGACAATGGCTGTCTTGTAAACGAGGATTGGCCTTGGCCATAATTGAGTGAACTTCAAGTCACAGATAACTTTTTTTAATTAATAAGAATTGAAATTAAATTAAATTAAATTCAGAGGAGAATTTTTGCAAACGAAGCCAAGCTTAGAGCAAGTTTTGTCGGTCAGGAGTAGAAGGAAAGGAAATGAAAGGATTGTAGGAACTTAGTGTAATAAGAGTAAGTGGATATTTACAGTTCTCTATCAAGCCTAGTAATAAAACAGTAGGATCAGGTTTTTAAAAGACGCCTAAGAGCAACTTAAATGATAAATAATAATAATAATAATAAGAATAATAATAATAATAGTTTATGGAAAGACCAATACGGCAGTCGTTAGACTGAATTACACTGTTAATTCTATGAAATATCAATAAAAATTACAAATTTCTGATTGAAGCCATAATGAAGGATTTTTTAAAACGATCGGTACGATGGCGGGGTTCACTGAAAGAGTTTGGCATCTCATAATGGGTATCTTAAGCGAGATACATTTTTTTTCTCGATTTATTACTTAAAACAATTGGCATCTAATGTCAGTGTATGTATAAAAATAGGTATAATTGCTTCAGGTGAGAGGAGCAGAGCTGGATTATCTCTCCAAGAGTTTAAGATTGACGATTATTTTTTATCAACAGAAATTTGGTTTAGATTAAACTACAATGACGAAGACATAATTTGAGAGCATCAGTCTTTTTAAAATCACTAAGGGCAATCATTACGGTCTCATTTGATATATGATACGAGTTTTCACTTACCTTATGTGTTCCTCATACACGTGTATGCTGTTTTCCCAAAGCATACCCTCCCTATTCTGCACGAATTCAGAAGCTCAAAAGTGTCAGATGAAACAACAAATGATCAATGTGTATCATGGCAAAGCGTTCCTTATAAACATGTATGCTGTTTTTCCAACGCATTCTCTCCACACTGATTCTGCAAGATTCGGGCAGTCAAAAGGGTCACGTGAATCAACAAATGATTATGGTGTATCATAGCAAATCATGTCTGGTGCAAGAAACAACCTCTAGCATCGCAGTCATGATTGCCAGGAACACGAATCTCAGCTATGTATATGATACCAGAGGGTATGTTGTAGTCGCTTGTAGAATCATAGACATGAGTTTAATGCTTCAGAAATTTCAGTGAGTGGTAGTCTATTCTCCGATTGCCTTACATGAACCATGCACATTTTTCTTTGAGGGAAAATTCATTCGGTTGATTACAATTTTAATTTGATCACTGCCAACACTTAGCCGTGGTTTTTGAGATCTAGCTATTGCTTCAACTGATTTCAGTATCTTAGCCATGGGTTCTCAACTTTTCTCAGTTTTACGAGCATGAGTTCAAAACGTTGAGACTTGTAGATTCGCCTTCAATACGAACCGCCGAGTATTCCACCGAAAAATCCTCGGTTTGAAGCCTGCAGTAATTTTTTTTTTATATATAATTTTTGCTTTACCTTCTTGGATTTCTTCTAGAACTTGGAATTTTTGCTAAAGGCACTTTTCATTATCAATAAATACAAAACAAGAGTAATGATCATTTCAAGATTCTATTCTGCCGTTACGCAATAGCCAGCTTCGTGAGTGGTGAACTCATGTTACGGCAATGAATCATTTTCGTAAGTACTGGAAGCAATGAATATATTCTTCAGTTGATAATTACTCACCAAGACGATCCTATTGTTAGAAGACTCCTTGTCTATCTTAATTTCGTAAAAAAAAGGTAGGAGCTCTATCACAAAACCCTGTTAATAGAGGCTTCGGATAAAACAACAAGACCGTCGGGAAGACGCGTCTCATTTTCCCGCTCAAAACAGACTTGAAAACAGACTCTTACTAGACAAATACCATGCTGTCATTTAATATCGTCTGATCGTGTTTTTTGGTTTCCAGAATTGAAAAAGTGGGAAGGCCAGGGGTGGGTTCGGTAATCTTCGTGATGGTCGGTTTCCGGCTGTTGATTGTCGGATCTGCAGACTGGAGGTCACTTTTTGCGAGTTCTTCCAGTACAATAGTCATGATTGATGAATTCGGAGACTCGGTTTTGTAATTCACTAGCTGAGTATATTCCATAGTCAGTTTTCTTGACAAAATTGACGATTTCTACTCGAGAAAGAGAGGAATCTGGTAAGTGTAGGGGTGACGCTATATCGAAGGCGTTCGTCGAGGGCCGTTTAGAGTAAACAGTAATTTTCCCAGCGGGGAAGTTATGAAACCCGCGAATATTGCGAAATCCCGCGAAAGGATGACATTTAAAAACTGAAGACAGTTTTTGACTTAGACACTAGAATGCGTAATCATAGCAGCGACTCAATGAATTTGAATTTTTGAAAATCATATAAGTGTATTGCGGTTTCATTAAAGAAACTACTTATCTAGTAGCGACTAAGTACTGTAGACATGACCTAAAAGAGAAGACATATTCAAATGAATGATAATGAAATATATGTTGTTCTGTCCGCTGTAGGAGAAACATCAACGTCTGCATATGACGACGATGGAGAGGATTGGCTGGGATGCGACAGTTGTGGCCAGTACTTCCACGTAAGTCGCATCAAAGTGGATTTGACTCTCTCTAGCTATTTCGTCTGCTCTTGTTAATTTCACAACATCTTTGCGGATTAGTCACGTAAATTGTGACCGTCCATAGGACTTTAAAGCTAAAGGTGATAGCACGCCCACAACACGCTGACGCAACACGCTTAGTGTGTCCTACAACACGGAGTATGCATAGATTTAACAAAGAAGAGCACACTTGTTTTGTTTTGCAAGACTTAACACGCTAAATCTTTTGTTTCCCTTAGTGTGCGATCGGTAGCACGCTTGGTGTGCGACTGATAACACACTTTACTGTGCGATCGATAGCACGCTTATTAGTGTGCGATCGATGGCGCGCCCCGTACGAAAATTCTCGGCGAGACACCAGCCATAAAAAATATGTTAATCAGCGAGAATCAAACAAGACAAGTCATGGCCGATGATTCGGCTAACACGAGCGAGACAAACAAACGAGAACTGAGCAAGAACAGAGCGAGATATGTGTGCCGCCGGCCGAGCACGTCTGATCGGGCCATATTCAAGCCCTCCCATTCGAAAATTTATGGCCAGACACGAGCAAGATTCAAGTCAGACAACAGTCCCCCTCTTAAAACCAGCAAGAATCTAGCAACGAATGTTTTTCTTACTATGGAACGCTCGCGAAACCAAACGCGGCTTATGTTTATTCCCAGCCCTGAGACACTCCAAACTTTCTGTGATATTTTAGCGCGGTGGAATACTTGGAAATGAAGGCTGAGAGTTTGGAAAAGCTTAATCTTAATTTGGCGAGCGAAACTACGAAGACAACAGAAAATTTGTAGAAGCGCATAGTCTGTTTATATAAATACTTGTGACTGTCGCTTGCACCAGCGTGTTTCAAATTCATTAGAGTAAAATCTGTGCGAACACTGGAACTGAATTTTGACAAAGCTGGTGCCTGGCATGGCATGCTCCTGTTTACTTCGAGCAAACAACGCTTTTGGTCATCATGTTATTCACCCGCTCAAAAAACATTCCCCAAACTTTACCACGCGAGACTTGTTTTACGTTTGTCCTAGAAAATATATCTACAGCACAATACACAAGACTTGAAATGGTCGATGTTTATGACCGAGAAAAAGATCGAAAACAGCAAAGCACATCGTCGGGTACTGTAAATCTGACTAAAGACTACTTCTTCGAAGAAACTGCGTAAAGCAATGAGTTAAGTTGACTTTGAAGCTGAATCTCATCGTCTTTTATCCTCAAAAAACGGCAATCGATGGTGTATATCAGAAGGCTGAAATAAAGTAGATAAGCTTACGCTTGACAACAAGCAGAATCGACTATTATTTGTCAATAGGCTCATTCAAGAATGGTAAGTAACTATGTATCGATATTCATTTTAACCACTTCAGCCAGTCGTTTTTTAAAGTTCTTTTGACACGGCGGACACACAAGCCTAATTGTTGCGTGTGATCTCGCACGCTAAGTGTGTTGTTATCTCGCACGCTAAGTGTGTTGTGTCGTCTCGCACGGTAGCTTTTGTTTTCGAAGGCTAACACGCCTCTATGATCAACTGCTCACGCTACATTGTTCGACAGGTCACGCTTTATTTGTTTTTAGTGTGTTCTATGAAACAAAAGATTTTGCTAATGAAGTGTGCTCTTGCACACACTTTAAGCGTGCTAAAACTGATTTCCTTTGTTCTAAAGTGGAAGCGGGTTGTGAGCGTGCTATCACCTTTAGCATCAAATTCCTAGTGGAGAATATTCTTCCCAGTGTGGGACCAGCTTAAGACTAGGCCAGGCTGTTTACAATTCCTGAAATTCCCGTTATTTCACGAATCATTTAACAATTTAGTGTTGACACGTTTTTCGCGTTTCGTAAGTAAAAAAATTGATTCAGTGCTGCAAGGAGAATCTCTCTGAAAATTTACTCGATAAGAGTCAAAGTTCGCGTCCAAAATTCAGACTTCACTGTTAGGTTTATTGGCCCATTGATAACCTTGTTACTAGCTCAAACATACTGAAAACCTTTTTATTAGATTTTCTTTATCTTTATCCTTCGTTCAGTACGATCTTACACATTTCGGGCTTAAACTTCTCGTGGAGAACAAGTGCTACAGCTTAAATGACATATTTTAAATTTAACCGCTGTACTATAAACCTGTGTGTTCGACCCTCGAGGAAAAAAAAGTCACGATAGCGTCACCCAACTTATAACGGGCTGGCGAAAAGTGCCAAGGGACCTGGTGAGCAATTTGAAATTACTAGGAAGGGTGCGACTAATAAAAAAAACAGAAGTACACGGACCACACTTTGTTGGCGTTTCTTTGTCTCGTGAGTCGCCATAATACCAACTCAATTAAGTTTCTCGCTTCGTGAAGACAAGGGGAGTCAGCAACCACACTTGATCCAAAGCGAATTCGGTCAGAGAATTTTTAGGTAGGCACTCACTTGTACTTTGACTTTGAAATGTACATGCAGGGCTCGACACAATCATAATTTACGAGCACGTTGGTCTAGATATCTGATATGCTTCAGAAGATGTGATTAAATACGCTGTAATTTGCGCGATTACCGTCGGCCTTCTCTTGTGCTGAACCCAACTTCTGAAGTTTTTAAGAGATGTTTCTAGTTCACCGAAGCCCTTGATATTAGCATCGAGCAATATCCATCAGCAAAGGACTTTGTAACGATTGCTCGGAACCTGTTCGAGCACGAGTTTCTCTGTATCTATCTAAAGTCGCACATCACCTTACAATCAAGGGTATGCGACATGTTTGTTATTTTCCCATACTATCAATCCAAACACAGCTGTTAATTTTCATGTTATTTACCTCTGACTTTCCTCGCTTAATTGTTAGTTTGTGTACGTTCCGAGGGGGAAGAGGGACGGGTTACCAGTTCATTGCGACAAATATTCAGCATAACAGAAAGCCTCTTGTCAAGATATTAAGGGTAAGATCTTCAAGGGGAACGTGGAACACCATGAGAACTGTGAATTTTACTTTTATTGAGTCCAAGACTCGTACTTCTTTTGCAACCAGTCAAGTGCAAAATCATGTACATGTTTTGTCGAGCTTGAAACTGCATGTTTGCATGTATTAGCTTGTCTCAATTATAGTTTCATTCCTAAAATTTGAAAGCCATCTTACAATTGTTTGGTTACTAAACCGAAGGATTTGTTGTCATATCTTAAATATGATTTCCCAGCTCACAAATCTTCTCTTCATCTGTCTGTGTTATGGATTTGTTAACGTGATATTAAAGTCCTAAGTACAGGGTAATGTGATAATTATGCCTTGAACCTAAAGGGTTTCTCTCTCGTTTAAGCTCCTTAATGAAATTTTCTTTACTACAATTGATCCAAAACAAAGCTAAGGGGATTAGTCACAATTTTCACTGAGCCTGAGGTGAATAATTTTCTCAGTAGTAATTGCTCAGGTACTTTCCAATTCTGCTGTAAATTTGTTTTGATTTTAAAACTATTCTGTTACAATTGTTTTGACTATAAGTATCAAGAAGAGCAACCAGTTTTCATTGGAATTTAACTGAGTTATTCAATTCAATCATTAAAAACTTCATATCTCTCTTTTGAAAAAGTGTTACCCTAGACTTGTATATTGTAGTTTTGTCTATCACGTGTAGTACTTCCTGAGTAACATTGTCAAAGAACAATGGAACTATTTTGAAATTTAACATAATTGGTGATTATAGCAACATATGATTCAATTCTTGACCAATTAGAGGGTGCACATCTCAACAATCACCAGAGCAATTATACTAAATGACAAATAATTGATTTCAGCTTCATAACACCCAATCAATTTGCACACTATAGTGTAACTGATTTTATTTGTAATGAATTCATGATTTGTTATTCAATCATTCTCCGAAGGATACACACTCAAGATCAAATCATGGCACTTTGGGAGTCACCTGGTGATGAAAGAGCAAGGTTTTATACTACTAAAGTACTTCCAGGGATGGGTGGCTGTATGATAGTAAGTAATCGTTTGAAATTGTTATCTCTATGACATATGCAGTGCTCATGCATGACCATCAACTGTCATGCATTTCATTCATTTGGTAATTTACACATACATGATAGTTAGGTTAATTAACAACTATTCACTGAAGTGGAGGTGGTTAGTGGTGGATATTTACCGAGCCGCAAAGCGGTGAGGTAAATATCCACTGCTAACCACCGACACTGAGGTGAATAGTTGTTTTAGTATATACTAAAAAAGGATAGTACTTGATTCTTTTCATAAGGAGGCCTGAATAATTAGACTGTGAACTAGCTCCAAACAAAAAAAATTGCAAGCCACTCAGATGGAGAGGACTGCTTGTCTCTTTAGTCAAGCGACATCTGTAATTTTCCAATGTCTTAATAATTCTGTGAGGATCCAGTTCTCAAACCATTCCGTTTTTGTGGTAGTTAACTTTTCTTCACATATTGATGACATGCACACCTCTCGATTACTTCAATTTTACATAATCATTGTTTAAAATGTTAAGATTGCCATACTGTATGCTATTATAAATTACAGTACTGTTATTGACTAATCCCCAAAACAAATAATTTTCTTAGTGTAATTGCTCAGGTGCTTTCCAATTCTGCTGTAAATTTGTTTTGATTTTAAAACTATTCTGTTACAATTGTCTTGATTTTACGTATCAAGATGAGCAACCAGTTTTCATTAGAATTTAACTGAGTTATTCAATTCAATCTTTAAAAACTTCATATCTCTCTTTTGAAAAGTGTTACCCCAAACTTGTATATTGTATTTTTGTCTATCACATTTAGTACTTCCTGAGTAACATTGTCAAAGACCAATGCAACTATTTTGAAATTTAACATAACTGGTGATTACAGCAACATAATTATGATTCAATTCTTGACCAATTAGAGGGTGCAGATCTCAACAATCATCAGAGCAATTATACTAAATCAATTTAATTTAGTTAATGTTGGCAAGCTGTGATCAGCATTCTTAGTTAAAGTAGCCTTCTTCAACAGTTTCTTGACACTTCTATGCTTTAACACTGACAATGATCTAAAGATAAGTCTGTTTATGAGCCAAGTGGCCCATGAGGCAGGTGTTTAACTCCGGTTTCTATAGCATGAAGTGGCTACGGAAGGAGTATTTCTACTCCCCCCCTGGACAGGATGCTAGCCCATCGCAAGGTTATCCCCCCCCCAGCATTAAATTTGCCGGAACCCACTTACCTGGGTGTTGAGAGGCACTGTGAGAGTAATGTGTATCGTCTAAGAACACAGCACAATATCTCCGGCCAGGGTTCAAACCCAGACAACTTGATCCAGAGTCAAGGGCACTAGCCATGAGGCCACCATGTCTCCCACCAATAATCTAAAGCATTTGATTAAAAAAAGGCCAGAATTAAAGTAAAGGTAATAAGGGGCAAACTTGCAATGGGGTAAATTCACCATAAACTGGTCAGCTCAGATATGTGTCACTTGCATGCATAAAGCTTAAATCATATGGGAGCTCATCCATATCTATGAGAAACGTATTTAAATTTTCAAATTAACTGAATTCAAATATAAAATGTATAAATTATGATTTATTTTCCATCAATTTACTATAATTATTTCAAATGTATTTTTATGATCGTAGATTTTAGGCCTTATCATGTTTCTGACCGGTGTGATAGTACTCGCTTTGGAAACACATCATTCTGCAGTTACAACAGTAAAGTTTGAGATACCATTTACTTTGTATCTGGTGGCTGGACTTTTAGCTGCACAGGCTGGTATAGTTATTTTGTGGGTGACTACAAGAGCAAATGGAAGTCCTCCTGATGTAAAGAAATGGTCCCCAATGGTAAGTCTTGCCTTTTTCTCCACAACGTTATTGATATCTGGAGTGAAAAGTCCAGTTGAGGCTAATTAATTCATGTTATACATGTACATTGTTGTTATTTTACAGTAAAGTAATATCAGGTGGTTGCAAAACCTAGATTTAAATCAAGAATACAGATAAAAAGTGAGTAATTCACCATAAGTGAGATCTTAAATGATGCACAAGGCTGCTAATTTACTTGAGTAATGACCATAACCCTCAGGTAACTTAGTTGGCACTTGTAAATAATGATTCAAATTCCCCTTTTATTTGAACAATATTTTCTTGCAGTTTATTGGAATTCTTTGTGTGGCCATTGTTTTTACTTTGTCAGCAGTCATCTTAAGTTTTACTCGTAAGGTGAGAAATAGGAGTAACATACAGATTTTTTCACTATTACTCAGTACATGTCTGAAACTGAAACCACTTTTTGTCATTATTTTGCCAACACATGTAAAAAATTTGCCATGTAGCATCTCCAGACTTCATGTGTTAGATTGAAATCTGCTCTACAGCTTGATATCTGGTTGTGTTCATTGTGTCAGTAACGTTCGTAACTTGCAAGCAGGCCGTCATTAGGGGTCTATCTTCTTTAGAGTGATTTATTACATTGGCTGGAGAAATATTTAATGTGGAATCTTCTGGATTCCACTCAAAGAATCAACTGATAATGTTGACCTAGCCAGTAACAACCCCTCTCCTCTCCCCTCCCCTCCCCTCCCCTCCCCTGCCCACTAGAGGTGCAGAGGTAACATATACCTCCCATCATTTTGTCAGGTTTCTTGGCACCTTGCTGGTACCCATTTATACTTGTATTATGATATGTTAACCAAAAGAACAACAACAAAGTGATCCTAACAGGGCTTTTACCCAGACCCCCTCACCTAAGATTCAGGGTAGTAACTGTAAAGCTACCTATTACTTTGTTAATCAGTGAAGGCAATCATGACTACATGCAAAGAGTTGGTAAAAATAAAATTAAAAAAAATTGTTTCTCATTTTCATGGAAAACGTCTACATGTACTTCACACAGACTAGCTCTTAGTAAACCCTTTCACTCTCAAAAGTGACCAAGACAGAATTTCTGTTAACTAATAATATCAATACAATATCAAGCAGACAAGTGATGAAAATAAAGAAAATTATGAATAAGGGGATAATAAGTTGATCCAATACGAAATTCTTCAAACTTACGTCAGAAGAATTGTATGGCAGACAGTAAGGAGAATTACTAATCAGATCTCGGGAGTGAAAGGGTTAAGACCCAATAGTAGGTATTAATCAGTGAATCACCTTCCATTCACTGGGAAATTTTTGCAATTTAATGAAGTCCCAGCCGTGCAATTAATTTATGATTTTGTTTTAGCTTAATGATATCGAGAATGACATGACGAATACCATTCAGGAGTATGGTTTATTTGGAAAAGGAGAGGAAACAAGTTTTATTGATACGCTACAAACTAAAGTAAGTATTATGTATTCGAAATTTCAATACGGTGGAATTACTCTTTTGGACCATGCAACTATTTTCCCGGGACACCGGTTCAAACTAGGAGTGTTTTCCATGAAGAATACATGTATGAAAGAGCAATGTGAAAGTTTTCCGTGTAACCCCATACTGTTTTTACCGTTGTTTTCTTTTATTAATGAGCTGTGTGAATGAAGGATAGGATTATAGATGTATAGGATTATAGCCAGCCGCTGGTCAGGAAATGAGCCCACGCTCGTCCCTCCTCCTCTTCCCGGGGAGGAAGACTGGACTGGGGAGGCGAAAATCGAGGTCATGCAAAAGTTTGCAGTTAAAAGGCGCACAGGATCTGGAATTCTTACATAGTAAAAGGCAATGAAATTTGTACTGAACTATGTTCTCGTGTATGCACAGGACCATTGTTGTGGAGTAAATTATTACACTGACTGGAGAAATACAAAATACGGTGCACGCAGAGTGTATGTGGTCCCAGACAGCTGCTGTAAAACAAATGAGTATGCGTGTGGTTATCAGTTTAAACTTGACAATATCAACCGCAGGGTGAGTTTTGTTTTGCTGATTGTTGTGTTGTTATCGCCGCAAGAATTGACGTTTCCTAGAGTTTTTTTCCCCTCCTTTAAATTGGATTTCAACAGAAAATTCCCCTTTAGCATGTTGACCCCTTTTTTGTCTGCGTTTTTTGTTTGTTTTCATGGAGAGAAAAAGACAGCACTCAGTGTACTGTCAATCACATATTTTGAGCTCAAGTGTCCAAATCATAAGAAGACATATCGTCATGTTCTTGAACTACAAATAGCTGCACTAGCAACACTGATACGTCATATCATAGAGGTTCCTTTGGGTTAATTCATTCGATGAACTTTGAGCTGAATTTTGCAGAACATTCATGTTAGATACTAGATCCAGAGTAATGAAATCTAAACTGCTAGGACTAGGGGAAAATAATTGGATGTCGTAGGGGCACTAAAATGTGAAGAACTGTTCCATTAGACCCTAGTAAGAAACTTAGATAAGGATTCTTTAACTTTTTTTTTTCTTTTATAGGGATGTTTGGAAGTAATCAAGCGGTCTGTAAGAACACATCTAGGGATAGTCAAGATAATGGGAATCATTTTTTTGTTGGTTAAGGTCTGTATAGTAAAGATTGTTTAAACACAAATTTGTTTATAAACAACAGCGAAAAAGGAAAGTTCATTTCACGCGGCGCGCCACCTTTTCTTACCAATTTCGTGGACTTCGCTGGCAGAGATAGACTTCGTTTAGTCTGCAGAGACGAGCGCAACGTAAACGGAAACCTCGAGCTTGTAACTGTACTGGTGGTTTTATCTAAATTATCTTTTTTTTCGCTATTAAAATAATGCTAGAAAAGGAATTTTCACGAAGTTGTAGAGGTTTCAATGTTACCTAACGGATTAATTTCCATTGAACTGTTTCTTATGATGACGCGACCAGGAATGAGTGCTAGAAGTTGCCACGCTACAATTTGTACTTCTGACATCTTTTTCAAACTATAGAGTTTAAACCCTTTTTTCCCGTCCCCACAGGTTGGTAAGGTGATTGCCATTGTGGTTATCAGGAAGAAATATTTGAGCGGCTAGTGACTGACTGATCATGGTGGTGAAGGATGACATCAACTCATGCATAACACGTGATTATGGTCCAGATACCTGACTAAGCACTTTGGTGTCATGTGATATAGTGTCACTGCTGATTACAAAGCCATACTAAAAACATATATGTATTTTCAATTTGGTGTTCCCTTTGGGCTCGCTTTTTTTTTTCAGTGTTTAAGCTCAATATTGTGAGCAGTTACCTTTCGTTTTAACAGCGGAGCCTCTATTTCGTTTCGGTTTTGATGAGTAAACTGGTAACTATGTTTATAGGGGCTCTGTGAACTCTTTTAGGCGTCATTCCATGAGGCTTAAACGCCCTCAAGGAGGAACGCAATAATATGTAAAATCGCCCTAATTGACTCTTTAATCAAGCAGGAAAAAGTTCAAAATTAGCAGGGAGCACGACTTTTCTTTTCTTTTTCGTTTTTTCCCTTAAAATCCCATCTTGATGTGAATTTAGAGATGTTTCATACAAGTGATTCATTGCGTTAGCTGAGCGTCAACGATAAGTTGAGAAAAGAAATTTTAAGCAGCATCGAGCTTGTTGAAATGTCCAATTTTTTTAAGAATTTAATTTTCGCTTTTGTGTGATTTTCAGTGGACATCATTTTTTTGTTTGTTTGTAATACGCACAACACAACTGCATCTATTTAGTGTGTTAACTACGGCTTTATATGTAATCTGATTACGTAAGTCTTTGTTTCTGTGAATACGACATACCAAATAGATATTTAAAGGATGTATTTTTTGACTCGTCAAGCAGCAAGATCGTGTGGACTGAATAATCTCAACAACATGAAGGTTTTTATTCGCTAAGATGGTACTTACCCTAGGCTATCCTTGACGAATTATTTATCGGCTGATAATATTTAATTATCGAAACTGTGCGAGCTTTTTCCAACAGGTTAGAATGTAATATTACCTTGCAATCGTATGAATAGAGTATCTTGAACTATTTTTTTTAAATTTAAATTGTCTTTGGATAGACATTAACTTTCCTCTGCGCTCCTCGTAGCTCTAAACATTTATTCAAGCGATAACTCGTTAGATTTACTACGGAACTTTAGAGTTTCACCCAAGGGGGACGTTTATTTTACGAAGTTAATAAAAGGACTTAAAATACCGCTAGAGGCTTTATTATGGGTTATTCTCATTCAATACTGCAGCTGCTGTATATAGCAAAATATTGTTAATCAATGAGATACGCTTTAAGTAATTTTTGTATGCTGAAAATATGGCATAACAGAAAGAACGAAAAACCTAAAGAAGTAAAGAAAGAAACGGAAGCGTCTTGATGACTTGTGGGAACACACTGGATTCTACTTTAAAAAAAAGGAAGATTAAGATGGAGTCTAGGTTACTGAAAGTTTGAAGTTTATTGAAGCTTAATAAGAAAGCTTAATAGGAAATGGCAAATTATAAATTAATCTAATTAATTTAATTAATCTAATGATCATTTACCCATTTCCCTCACACCAATAATTTCCAAATTAGCCGAAGACTTCGTGGTATCTGCGTTCATCGGTCCGGCTGTGTTGAAAATTATCGATCCCGACCAGTTTGGCCTTACAGAAATCCTCCACGGCCCTAGCTCTGACGTCCATGCTTCATCACTGGACGCGCGCAATTGATGGCACGCGATCTGCAGTCAGGGTGGTCCTGTTTGACTACTGCAAAGCTTTTGACTACATTGACCATCAACTGCTCACTCAAAATTTACCGTCTTGATATCCCTCGGGGTGTGGCACGTTGGGTAGTCGACTTCTTAGTGCATCGCTACCAACGCGTAAAATTATCTGCTGATTGTTTCTCTGAGTGGGGCCCCGTACCAGGTGGTGTACCTCAGGGGACAAAATTGGGGCCATGGCTCTTCTTGCTAATGATAAATGATCTAAGAATTCCCCAGGTTCAAACTTGGAAGTACCTTGATGATACGACGGTGGCAGAGATCGTCCCGCGTAACGCATTAGGTGACGCCCAAACCGCTGTTAAAGGTGGTAGAGCATTAATGCAAAGCACAGAAGATGCAGCGTAATGCTGACAAATGCAAAGTAATGGTCATCGACTACAAAAGGCAGAAACACCATTTCACTCCCTCTTGGTGGATGGCAAGGAATTAGAGACGGTAGAGTCGGCTAGGATCCTAGGCGTGACTATTTCGTGTAACCTTAAGTGGAATAACCACGTCAATGATGTTATAAAAAGAGCAAACAAACGATTATACTTTTTAGTCCTTCTGAAGAGAGCCCGCGTTCCAGCGGATGACATAATTAATTTCTATTGTATAACTATACGTCCTGTTCTGGAATACTGCGCACAAATATTCCATCATGCGTTACCTGCGTATCTTATTGATGACATTGAAAGGGTCCAAAGACGCGCATTATCCATCATCTCACCAGAACTGTCATACCATGACTCTTTATAGAGGCACGGTTTAGCTTCGCTCTATGACAGACGCATGAAATTATGTACGGATATGTTTTTGTCTGTCTCAAATCCATCTCGCAAATTATATGTTCTGCTGCCAGATTGGCATCTCTCAGCTTACAATACTAGACACCAGCGCGTTTTTAACATGCCGCGCTTTCGCACTGATCGTTTAAAATCTTCATTTATCCCGGCTATGTGCGCGTGTGCTAACCTAGATTTTTAGCTATTCCACTGCTGTATATTAGTTATATTAGTAATTTTATTTAGGTCTTAGCATTTTTGTAATTGGTAGTCTTATATAGTCTTATATAATCAATGATTGTGAAAAGCACGCCATTCAGCCTATGGCTGCGATGTATTTTATTTGGTAATAAACTATCTATCTATCTATCTAATTTACATTTTCATGTTCATGAAGACCGTTCACGTCCGCAAATAGCAGGAGCTAGTCGAGGCGGGCGAGAATTAGAGGTGCAGCAGTGGTGATAGAGTACAAATAAAGTTTAAACATAGATTAATAACATTTCCAGAAAAAGACAGCCAATTAAAACTCTTAAATACAACTGCATCATTAAACATAAGAAAATAGTAACACTACAATGTAGAATATAAATTATAAAGCCAGTTTATAATTAGTAATTTTTTTAAATAGAAGGGACGATTCAACATAGTAATCATCAGCCTCTAGGAACGAAAATAACATGCCCGAAGCTAGCAAAAGAGCCCTGGCTTTGATTCAGTCTCCATGGATTAATATAAAAATTACCGTAAGAAGAGAACCTCGTATCGTGATTATTCTTTTCAGTAGCTTTAATGAAAATATTACTAATGTTAGTAGGTACAGTTAGACATGAGACGTTAAACATAATTGAGGAAACTGATTCAACGTATAACATATTTACGGGGAGGAATTTTGAGGAGATAAATAAAGGCACCGCATGTGCTCTGGATTCAGAAAAATATATCAGCCGAAGAACACGTTTTTGTGGGCTTGAACTTTCGCTGGATCTGCTCAAAGATCTTCGCTGGTTGCCACATGACCGATAAACGGAACATCTCTCATCCTGAGCTTCAACTTGTCGCTGTTTAAATGAATTCCACGCTCTTCACATCTCTGAAGGAACGCTAAAAGACTCTTGTCGTGATCCTTGGATGCTGCTTGCAATGAATCACCATAACCAACAACAACAAAAGAACAAAGTCATCTGCTATGACTTGAACTCCATTCAGTCCTTCAATCAATTCGTGCCTCTTGCGTTGAAAAATTTCAGGCGCAGAATTAATTCTAAAGGGCATCCTTCTCCAAGCTAAAGAATTTATTTAGGGATAAGTAAATCATGATAATTATTTTATTTTCTTAGGATCAATGTAGTGCGTGATATTTGTATCTGGTACAGGCTTGTATTCTTCACTTGTGTAAGCTTTTGTGTAATTAACCTTTATGGGGAGGAATTTTGAGGAGATAAATAAAGGCACCGCATGTGCTCTGGATTCAGAAAAATATATCAGCCGAAGAACACGTTTTTGTGGGCTTGAACTTTCGCTGGATCTGCTCAAAGA